ATAGTATCCTATAGGAACCTTTTGAAATATCTGTTTATAAAAATAATTTATTTGATTAAAATGGTTTGTTTGGCTAAAATGGGTGTGAACGAGATTTTGAAGATACGACGACCTAATGTCGAAGTTTTTGACTTAAAAGGTGTGATTTTTAAAGTGGGGTCTTTTAGAAAAATTATCTTAGGTTTAGAAAAATAATAAACAAACAAAAGATGAATGAGGGTATTCGCATGATTGGATGCGATGTATTTGATGACATGAAGTCACCAAAGTTAAAACATTTCCCTTGGAATTGAGACAGACGAAAGATATAAAGATTAAACGATCGATGATAAAATTAATTAAAATGACAATTGAACAATTAAATAAATGGAAATTAAATTAAAATATTAACTTATAACATGTATTCTAAGCAATTTAATAAATAACAAAAATATTAGATAAAAGATTAATAGCATGACAAAAATTAAATAAAAGATAAATTGAATTAAGCATGTTTTTTTTAGTTTTTTTAAAACGACATGATATAATTATATGTAATAAACTAATCTAATATTTTACATCATATATTTAATATAATTAGGAATAAGGCTAAGTTCTAATTATGGCTATGTTTTAATTAAAATATAAGGGGAGCGATGATAATAAGATTGGGCCAACATGCCTAATAGGGATGACCCGGTTTGGAAGAGAAAAAGGAAAAGTTTTGCAAAACCCAAAGAGGCGTCGTTGCTGTCATTGGGAAAGGAAAGAAAATAAGGGTTGTTGTGCAAAGTCAGAGGAAACTGAGATACAAAGGGAGCGTGGTTGTAATTTTGTTGAAGTGGGAGAAAGAAGTTGTTCATAACGGTTGAAGTGTGGTTGGTGTAGCGTGTACAAGATGGAAGCTCGCGGACAAAAGAAGTGATTGATTGGTTGTTGGTCTGTATGATTTTTTGTTCTGAGTTTGACAAGCTCTGAGCTTTTGGTTCTGGATTTTTATTTCTGGTTTTTTGTTTCTGGTTTTTTTATTTGGTTGAGGTTTTCTGAGGTTTGATTCTGAGTTTGGTTCAGAGTTTTATTCTGAGTTTGGTTCAGAGTTTGGTTTCAGAGTTTGGTTCAGAGTTTGGTTCAAAGTTTGGGTTCTGAGTTTAGGTTCAGAGTTTGGTTCAGAGCTTGGGTTCTGAGTTTGGTTCAGAGTTTCGTTTCAGAGTTTGATTCAGAGTTTGAGTTCTGAGTTTGGGTTCTGAGTTTGGTTCAGAGTTTGGGTTCAGAGTTTGATTCTGAGTTTGAGTTCATAGTTTGGTTCAGAGTTTGGGTTCTGAGTTTTGTTATGAGTTTAGGTTCTGAGGTAACAAGCTCTGAAATTTTGTTTTGAGGTAACAGGCTCTGAAATTTGGTTTTGAGGTAACACGCTCTAAAATTTTGTTTTGAGGTAACAAGCTCTGAAATTTGCTTTTGAAGTAACAGGCTCTGAAATTTTGTTTTGCATCTAACAGGTTCGGGTTTTATAGAGTTGAGCAACTTTTAGAGAAAAATTGTTAGCAGGCTATGCATCTTAGTTTTCTAGTTATGTTAACAGGTTGTAACATCATCCTAAGAATTAATATTCTGATTTTTAACAGGTTAAACATCAACAGAACGTAGAAACTCCAGAATATCTCAAGGATTATGATAAACAAACATTCATGGCATAAAGGAAATGGTGAAAAGAGGAGATTCAAAAATATGAATGAGGAAGTTATGAAGAGGTAAAAAGGGAGGAAGAAAAAATACCTATCGGAGCCTCTTCGATGGGGCTTCAAAATGTTAAGTTTTTTTTTCTCTTTGAATTTCTGTATTTCCTTGTTGAGTTTTGTTTTACCTGCTGACTTTTCTATGTGTGGTTCCCTCTGAGTTTTCCTCTTTCACTTGATGTTCCTCTTCTGATTTTTTTTCGTGATTCTTAGACAAAACTCTCTCTCTCTCTCTTTCTGTTTTTTCATCTTGCTGAATTTTGTGGTGATTCTTCAACAAAAAAAAACTCCTGCTTCTTTTGTTGATAGAGGCCTCTATTTATAGTGAAATACATGCGGTTTTAGGGGGGGGGGGAATAATAGAGATTTGAATTGTTTTGGACTCTGTTTTGATATTTTATGGGACAGCTTTTTGAAGTGTGCATTTTAGTGCAATATTTGGAGTTTTGTAGACTGGTTTTTGTAGCAGCAAAGGTGCCGATTTTTGTCTCATGGGCTGCATTCTAGATAGTTTTGTAGGACATATTAGGACAGATATACTGCATGGTTTTTGTTGAAACAAGGTTGGATAATATGAACAACATTGTACTCAAAAATTGGACTGTTATATATTTAAACAGTGCTAGAAAATGGGCAACAATGAGGCTGTTTTGAAACAAGAACAATAACTTCATTTTCATGTACAAAATTTCCATTTCTTTTGTAACTTTGTAATAATAATCCAAATAAATTGTAACATGAATGGGTATTTATTCTTCAATATAAATCTCAATTCCCTTGTAATTATAAACAATTTTGAATCTTGATATGTCTTGATAAAATTCCAAGTCTTCCATTTGAATTTGGGAAATAATTGAATAATACTTGAATAAATTGTTGAATGATGAATAAATAATAATGCAAGTCTTAGATTTTAATCTTGCATTTTGTAATAGAAATCAAATAAATCCCATGAATTGATCTTATAATAAAATAGTAACCATCATGTATTTAATCTTGTGATGAACGATTAATTGGATCGAATTTCTTTTCCCAATATCCTCTTGAATAAGTGCTTCATGTGTGTTCAAATAACCATAATTTAAATCCACAAAAATAATCACATAAAATAATCTTGAATAAATATTTCATGCGATAAATAATTATTCTTGAATGAGATCTCTTGGTAGCTCCTCTTTAATTATCTCTTGAATTCAAATAAAGAAAATTCTAAGTGTCCCGGATAAATTCTTCTAGAACGATTTTGAATTTAATCATTCCAATTTGACGAAATTCACCCCGCGTCATGAGAAAACTTGCAGATGACTTTTGGTCTAAATGATTGAAAATGACTGGAATAGCTTGGTTTTCTTGTATTTTAAAGTAATGTGAAACACACATGAACCAAAGGCAGTAAAACTTCGACTATTCTTTCCAAAACAATTCAGACCTATTTCCTTCACATGGAATAAAAAAAACAAAACATACACTTCGTGCTTGATTAGTGGTTAGTCATTCATACGATAAAATGCTCACAACACTCGATAATCTCTACACAGTCAAAGCTCGAAAGCGAAACGTTTGAAACCTTCCAGATTCGGTGACCTTGATGTATATAAAACAATGCAAATGAAGCAGAGATCTTAGGTTAAAAATTGGGGTATGACAATAAGGCCAAAAATTGTGTATTCTATATTTAAGTCCCTTCAATCTCGTCGAAATGAAGATTCCAATTTTCATATCTCCAGATAGAAGAAACTTAAATACGGGCAACTGTCATACCCCAATTTTTGACCTAAGATCCCATTTTTATTTTTGCATTTTTATACAGAAGTCAAGGTCACGAAATACGGTTGGTTTTAACCTCTGACCATCGAGCATTGACTATGCAGAAATTGTCAAGTATTTTGAACATTCTTAGCCTATGTATCACTAACTTCTAATCGAGCACGAAGTGCGTGTGTTTCGTTTCTTTGATTTCATTTGCAAGAAACAGATCTTGATCAAGAGCATCAGGCGTCACATCTCGATTAGGGTTAGGAATCTATCAAGCCATAAGTACAGTTGATCATTGATTCTTGAAGACTGATTCATCAGGGAAATCGTGTGTTTATTTCTACACTCTGTTCAACAAGTGGTCTCAAACTTCTCCACAAATTCCTCAGAGCATAATCAAGATTTTATCATCATTGATTCACATATGCATCAAGGTGTCTAGGAATGCAAGGAAGGATCAAGTTTTCCAGTTGATTCAAAGCTCTTTTATTGAAAAGTCAACATTTTTAAGATCAAGTGCAAGGATCATAACTTCGTCAATGATCAATATTTTGAGAAGATTCTTCTTGCACGCTGTCATAAATAATGTCATCTACAAGTTTGCTTCAAGGACTGTGGGAAATTTGTGCTTAAAAGACTTTGAAAGTTATTGAATTGTTGTATTTCATTTCTTGATTTAGAATTGTTCTTAACTTCCAATTTCGATTAATGTCATGATAAGTTTTCTTCATAGACGTGGTTGATTATAATGGATTGAAGTGTAAGTACAAGGGTATAAAAGAGTGACCTGTGGTTTGGTTTTGATCATATACAACTTTGAAGTCCTCAAGTACTTGTTACTCCAATTGCAAGTTAATTCGGATTTTGAGAATAAAAGTTAGGGATTCATGGTTTGTCATTGAAATAGGGAGGTGAAAGTTTATCAAGTGAACCGAATTTATTAAGATACAAGTTGATTATTGGTTCATGGAGGTTTGAAATGATCAAAATTATTAAGTATTTGTGTGAATTTCTTGAGATACAATAACATTCACTACTCTTCAAAGTGTAGGTTTCAAGTGTCCAAAATACAAAGTCTCAAGACCTTACTATTCATCATCCATTATTCAAAGTCATTCAATTCTCAAGACATGTCAAAAATATAACTTCAAAGTTCCAAGTAACCTTTGTCTCATCAATTTGCAAGTTGTACAAGTTTAAATGCCCAAATTACATTCAATCAAGTTCTAAGTCAAAATTACAAGTTACCACAAGAATCTTACACAAGTGTTTGTACAAGAAATCAAAAATCTAAACCTAAAGCTAAGACTTGTTCTTGATTCAAAATCCATGCCACATATTGACTTCAACAACCTTGTAGAACTTGCTACCAAATTCCAGCTCCTGCATAATGGCCAAATGAAAAAATTTGTGACATCTCCTTGTCCAGAATTTTTGCAGCCATAAGACAAACATAACAGGCTAAAACTTAGCATATCAGCCTGCAAAATCAATCCCAACCTTCTAGAAACCTTGTTATATAAGTTGTTTCCCCTACTGCATTGCCCTTATCTCTGCTGCCCAAAACCAATTACTATAAACCTGCAAAAACAGTCAAAATTCAGCCCACAAAACAACAAAATCCTGCTGCCGCAATGCTGCTAAAAGACTGCACATTTGTTGTCATAAACAGTCCAAACAATTCAGTCCAAAAACTGCTACAATTCTGCTCCACCAACCAGCTGTACCATGTTGTCTACAACTGCATAAATAGTCCAAAAATACATCAAAATTGCACACAAAAGGTAATATACAAAAACCGGCATCCAAAATAACCTGCACAAACCAAAAGGAAAAACTGTCAAAACAGTCTGTTATGCTGTCCCAAAATATGTTTCTATGCTGTCCAAACCCTGTCCAAAGCAGTCCAAAAAATAACATCAATAGCCATACAAATTTTCATTCTAAAAAGAGATAAAACAGTTAACTACAATGGTTCAAACAAGAAATGCAATGCAACCCACAAGACAAGAAATATCTCCTCAGAATCAAACAAGAACTCAACAACCCTTACCCTTACGCTATAGCCTCATAGGACCCAAAAACAGATTGTTGTGACTGGTATTGTCTCAAATGTGACTTCAAAACTCACTGTGTCATCGACCTATTCATACAATCCTCAGTCCCATATACAAATCTCTCTACCCACATCCCCTTCCGTCAGTGACCTCCCTTATCTCCAGCCTCTCGAATTCCACAAATTTCCCAATTTCACCATACCTTACCACTACAAATTTCCAATAATACAACACAATATCCCTTCATCAATAAATTCAATAGCTTCATCATTATCTAACTCTCACCACCATCAAATCTTAAACCTTCTTCCAAAAACATCTCGAACCATCACATCAAAAACCTGTAGAAAACCATAATTCAGAATAATCATCACAATAACTTGCTCCAATTCCAAATTGAACTGAAGTCCACAAATTGATGCTGACAATAACTCACACTCAACAAAAATGCAAGGCAGCACAAACCACAACTCGGACCCTATCAGAGCCACACATGCTTGCATCAAAGTCACGTATACCAAAAGAAGAAGGTAGAGACGAGAATCAAATCGCTACAGTAAAGAAATAATATCATACCTCAATAATTTCCGACGAAAATCTCCTTGTTGTAGGTACGTTTTCTGCGATAAAAATGCTCGCATATTATTAAACTGGCCCTTGATTGTTGTATTGTTTTCTTTCCTTTTACGTTGATACTGTATGATTATCTTCATGATACTTGTTGTGTTTTACTCAATTTTTTTGAATAATTATTGTTGTTTGGTTACAGATGAAGAGAGAAAGAGAGAGAGTTGTGTTGTTGAGTGTTTGTTCTTTAAAAAATGAGATGTGAAATTCGAAAGCAATGGCAGAGGAAGTAGAATGAGGGATTTGAGAGGAAAGGTTGAGAGGAAGCAGAGGGATACATAGAGGGAATATAGTCTTCAGATCATGAGATTCAAGGTAAAGAGGATAATATTTTTGATTAAGTTTATTGGGAAATAATAAAAATTGAATTTTTTATCCCTTCCCAAGGTCAGACGCGGTGCACCCTTTCAACTATTAGTGTTTTGAAAACCCTTCACTCCCCTTAGTAACCTGGATCCGGGTTTGGGCTTAGCCCAACCCATTTCGCAATTTTTGTGTTTTATAGTTTTTTATTAAGAGAATGTAATGAATGGGAAGTTTGGTGTAGTGGCTGGAGCATGTGTCTGAAACAAGTGAGGACATGGGTTCCATACCTGTGTGAAGCAGCATTTTTTTTTAATTTATTTGTTTTCATAGCATTTTCGGGCTTCAATTCAACCTATTTTTCCTAAGCCCATTCGAAATTGTTATCTCCACCTCCAATTTTATGTTTCCACGCTCTTTTTCTTTTCATTAAATAACTTAATTTAATTTTAGATTATTAATCTTAGAATAAATTAGTTTAAATATAATTTTTAGCAATTTTTAAGATTAATTTAATTTAGATTAATATTTTTATAATAGCTTAGATTGAGACTAGAATTTTATAATTAACGTAGTTTGTATTTAAATTAATTTAGATATAATTTAGTAATTTTAGAGCTTTAATAACTTTAGAATTTTCATTTGATTTAGATTTAATTTAATAATTTTAAAACATTTATTTGATTTAGATTTAGTTTAATAACTTTATAATTTTCATTTGATTTGGTATAGTAACTTTGAAATTTGTATTTGTTTTTAGATTTAATTTAGTAACCTCAGAATTTGAATTTAATTTAGATTTAATTTACTAATTTTAAAATTTTAGTTTAGTTTAGATCTAATTTAGTAATTTTAGAATTATTTCTATAACTCTAGAATTTACCGTTAGTTTAGAATTATTTTAGTAAGTAATTTTTTTTTAATTTAGTTCAAATAACTTCTTTACATAATTAGTTACTTTCTCTTTTATTTGTATTTAAACATCTCTGTCATTTTAATTTCTCAGTATCTTTTGGTCATTAATCTGTTTCGTTAGGTTTATTTTCTTGTGAATTTTCAATTGCTTATATTTTGATGTCCATTTTATTTTGCTCGCTCGATTTTTTCCAAGGGAAAGAATTAACTAGTTGACTTCATGTCATCTAGTATCTAATACGATTGTGCGAATCCCTTAATTCATTTTTGTTTTACTATTTTGTTAACCTTAAGTTAATTTTCCTAAAAGACTCAATTTTAAAACTTACATCTTTTAAGTCAAAACTTCAACACTAGGTCGTCGTATCTTCAAAATCTCGTCCACACCCATTTTAACCAAACAAACAAATTTTTACCAAAAAACAGATATTTCAAAAGGTTCATGCGGAGTACTGTAGATGCATTGGGTGCTAATACCTTCCCATTGCATAACCAACCCCCGAACTCTTGATCTCTTTCAAAAATGCATTATATTTTCATTACTTTTAAGTATTATTTTACATTGCATATTTTAGGGTTTTATTACGCTCTTTTCCCTTTTCCCTCGGAAATAATAAAGCGGGGTGACGACTCTTGCTTTTGCGAGTTGAGTTAACTAATAGCTCGATCTCCGATTTTTACCGCTACAGTAGTATCGAGTATCAACCAACTTCGGACTACACCAAATCTGGCTATCTCACTACTTCCTAATGGCCAAGTTGTTCAATTAAAGGTTCTAAGGTCAGTTAGTGTTTCATGACACCACACAACGGCCCCGTATTGTCCTTGACTAAACTCAAGGGATACATGTACCAACAAATGTGCACACTGACATAGACATCGCTTCAACCATGTCGGTATACCCCGCATAATCCCCACGATCTATTGCTACTTACCTAAAATGGTGCCCCAGATCCGGGTGTAGGATCTTTTAGTAACAACCCAAACAAGCCCTTAAAAGTAAAGCATACAAAACATACAATGGAAAGAAAATTTAAAATGATCTAAACTCTAAGGTAACCCCACTTTTTACTATTCCCCAACAGAGCCGCTAGTTCTATGATACGGTGGCAGAACCGACTGTTATACTGGTTTTGCGTATGCATTCGCAAATGTTGCGGTAAGCAAGAGTCGCCACTGAATTTTCTTTTATCCAACAAAGGAAGGGTGAAAAGAACAGAAAAAGACCTTTCAAAAGTTTTCTGAGTAAGGGGGTAGATTATGGAAAGGGAAGGTGTTAGCACCCTTTCCATGCATAGTTATCTACGGGCTCTTAGATGCTTTAGCTCATTTTGAAATACCTTGTGCTTTGTATGTTTTGAAAGTATTTTTGAAAGCGCCTTAGTGCGGCGAACTTTGTAATGTTTCTCGGAATGGTAGAGAACGTATACAAAGTGTTTGAAAATGTTTTGAAAGAAATTTTATGTAAGTGTGAAAATTGTTTGAGCATAGCATCTAGGAACTATCTACTTTTACTCAAAAGGTTGTTCTTTTCCTGTAGACAGTGTTATCCTACTATTAGTGAGTAGGTAGCCCTGGTCGTTGGATGTTTGAGGTACATTCGAAGGGATGTTTATACAGTTGTTGCAACTAGTTTTTAAATAGAGTCACCACCTTTAATTTTTATCCTAAAGGAAGGGAGTATAAAGGAATAACCCTAAAAGTTAGAGATTATAGATTTGGACTCGGTTCTAGACGAGGGGAAGGTGTTAGGAACCCCTTATCTACCTTATTTGCAAGGATACTAGGTTTAGAAGCTTGTTCTTAGGAAATAGGGTTTTAATTACTTATTTGGGAAAAGGGTTTACATTTTAGTTAGCGGGACTCACAATGATTTTGATCGCATGCCTACGTATCCTCCTAGGAGGAATCAGAGTCCCATTTCGTAGTTCACAGGGTTGGTGTTGAAGGGTGGGAAAACACTTAGAAGGGGGGTTGAATAATTTTTTCCTTTTTCTAGCGCAATAATAATGGAAGGACATGGGTATTTTTATCCTGGTTCGTTTGAAAGTCAAACTACTCCAGTCCACTCGCCAAGGTGATTTCGCCTCTCTCAATGAGGACTTAATCCACTATAATTAAAATGATTACAAATGCACACCCAAACTTTTGTGACTAACAATACAATGCACAAGCCAACTGCAAGTGACTAACACCTCTAAGACTCAACTAGTCCTAGCCCTCTAGAGAAATCTGACCCAACTGGTCTCTCAAGGAACACTTACAAAAATTATATCTTAACAGTAGTGAATCAGAATGCTTCTAATAAGTTGTATCACAAACTGTGATTTATCACTAAGATTATCACCCAATACTTAAGAATTACCCACTATGTACTATTAGTTTACAAGAATGAAAACAATGAGCCTTAGTATGTTTTTTGTGGATCAGTAACTTTTCTTTGAAACAAATGATCTTCTATATATAGCTTCCAGTCTTGAATGTTACTGCCTTGAAGAGAGTGTATGCATTAATGATGCGTGTTAGCTTGGTCTTTATGTTTCCAATGTTCTCGTGCGTAGTACCACTTGAGTGCGTTAGCCGTCTTAGCATTAAATAACCAATGGTACTGTCAGATCTTGTCTCTGGAAGTTTAAGAGTTTGCTTGTTGCGTTGCCACTTCAGAGGTTACTTTAACTTTTCTTCTATCAGAGTATTCTTCATTTTATGTTCATCATAGTTTGCTTCAGCTTGCATTATCAGATGTTGCTTTCAGCGTGCTTCTTTCAAATCTTTTCTTCAGCTAGCTTTATCAGAGGTTCCTTAGGATTGCTTTTCATCAGAGTTTTCCTTGGAGTGCTTCCTTTAGGGTTTTCTCTAGACTTGCGTAGAATGATGTTTCTCTGTTGAGATGAATGAGTCAGAACATCATCTGAATTTAGAGAACATACACATCAGAGTATAAAATATATTTTACAAAATATTTTTCATTGTAATCATCAAAACTCTAAGATATGATTAGAACCAAACTTTGTTCTAACAATATCCCCTTATTTGATGATGACAAAACAATTCAGATTTTGATTAAAAAAATTTTGTGCAAGAGTGAGAATCTCCCCCTGAGATAGATATTTCTTCTTCTGAAAAAAAATATTCAAATAATTTTAAAAGCATAAGGAAACTTCCTGAGATTGCTCTTCAGAGCTTTGAGACATTTTTCTTTCAGAGTTTCTTTAAGAACTCCTGATCTTTTCTTCAGAGTTTCTTTAGCAGATCTTGTCTAGATGATGTTTAGAGCTTAGTCTTTCAGAGTCTTGAGGTACCTGTATATCTGTTGAACAGAAAAGAACTTTGTATTTTGTTAGGAATGTTTGAGACTTAGTACCATAATTGTTATCATGGATCAGAACAAAACCATATTTTCTCCCCCCTTTTTGTCATAATCAAAAAGAAAAAAAAAATAAAGAGATTTAAAATATTTGTATATTGAAGATTGAAAAAGTCAGAGGTAAAAAATAAAAACAACAAGAAAATTGGAAAAAGAAATTAAAAACTAATATTGACGAGAGACAAGAGAAAGAAGATGATTCTTGATTTCGTTTGAGGATTCCTCTTGTTTAATCATCCATGTTCTGATTTCCTTATTGGTTTCATCCTGTTTGTCTAGACGTTCATGGATGGCTTCATTTTCCTTCTTCAGCCTATTCAGAGTGTCAATCACCAGCGAAGAGGGAGCTGATGTTGAAGCAGCTTAAGAAGATACAACATTTGGAGCAGAAGCAGCAAAGCCTGAGCCTATAACATTGGAGAGGAGGGTGCTAAGATCAATCAGAAGAGTTGGCACTTTCTCAGAGGCAGCTTGAGAAGAAGGTTGGTGATACAGTGTCATTACCAAGGGATTTGGGTCTGACTCAGAGCCATCATCAGATTCATCTTCTGAAATTTCCATGTTGTCAACAAGTGGTAATGGAGCGTTGATAATCTACAGTGGAGACTTTTTATCCCAGATATTTACCACTTCTGTCTTGAAGGCATTCAGATACTGGGTGAAATTCTCAAGAACCTGAGAATAGCACAAATATTGCATATTAAAGGATTCATCATTGAATTTCCTTCTGAATGCTTCCCACATAAAATCACATGCAGTTGGGTTCAGGTTGCTGGCACTGTTTGCCTTCAGCAGATCTATCCACGTCTACATTTCTGTTGCAAAATTCTGGAAATGTACATTAACATCTGACTGAACAGGTTTTGGAGTTGGTTTGGGAATAGCCTTTTTGGTGGA